CTACCAAATGAATGCAAAAGAAAATAAAAAAATTAGTACTTTCAACTTTCAAGTTCCACCAAATGAAGGATGTGCCTCGATTTTCTCATTTCTGACCTTCCTACAGGGAATCATAGTCTTCGATTTTCAAAAAAGTGGATACAACAAAATAACATTATAAAAGTGATTGGCCTCATTAAGTTCATATTCGTGAATCCATTTAATAGAGAAACTAGAGACGTACATACACACATAAAGATGATCAGGATTTTCGGATCGACTTGATGATGATGAGTAAGAATTCCATATAGACTAATATATATTTATATATATGCAAACGCAGTTGACTTGCTCGCGATGATGATGAATATAAGAAGAATCTATATATAGCCATCTATATATATATATATATGAGACACAAATTTAGGGAGAGTATTGATTAATTAGTTTGGTTTTCTTGAAAGCTACAATTTGGCTAACTTCCAAACGCCTTTTGATAAAATATTCAGTATATAAATAAACAACAAAGAGATAGAAGGAACAAACTTAATACTCTTAGCATGGTTACAGAGGATCGTTGGTAATCATATATTGTGTCAAGCTATCCATAATAGCTAAAAGAATTTTTTCGTTTCTGAAAGTAGAGTTGCCTATGTGCAGTTCTATTGTGGTGGAGTTAGTTTTACTGTCTTTGATCCTTTCTCCAGGTTTCTTTTGCATCAGAACTGATTTCTCATATGAATACATTCCCCATTGATCAGTTAAAAAAAAAGGAACAAACTTGTGTACAGACGCTATTATTTACAACAAACTAAAGTTTTTACTCAAATTTCTTATTGTTTCTATATAAAAATCTAAAGAAATCAAAAATATATTTTTAATTACCTGCTTAAATATTATTCTTTTGTGTTTAACATATAAAAAGCAAACTGTGCATCTGATTTTAGCTAAGTGAACAAGTTAAAGTTGGTATTGCTGATCTTGTTTTCGTGTCTGAAAAGAGATTCTATTGGCCATCGATTATTAATAAAGAGACCAAACAATTACTTAACCAATAACATGTTATCACTCACATGTCACCATTGAGCATTGAATTGGACCGTTAATTTATCTTTTAAATACTGTAATATTCGTATTTTGTTAGGTTCTTACGTGTGGCCATGACCCATGGCACCAGCCACGCCTTTTGGAGAAAGAAGAAACAAACAGCCATATTTCTCAATAATATAGACTATAAAAAATTGTAAAAACAAGATTACAAAATTGACTCTTCTTTTGTACTACTTTTCATATCTTCAACAAACAAAGATGGGCTCATGGAACTTCACCAGATTATGATAAGTAATAAATTGGCTCAATATCCTAAGTTAACTTCATGGTATGGTACTTTTAGATAGACAACAAAATAAATAAATCACAATTAGATTAATTAATCCATAAGGAAATTTGACTTAGACCAAATCATGTATTGGCTCAAGAGATGCCATTCCCTTACATCAATGTTTTTGCCTACCTGTCTAGCTCTTGTTGCCACCACATTTCTACTTCTACACCTTTTGTCTATATACACACAAAGTTTTATATATGTGTCATGTGTGTATGGGTCCATTCTCATCTTGTTATTTTATTTATGAATTTAATTAGTTAGAGTCTAATACTCTTATATCTAACATTCCTTCTCACTATAATTTTCAAAAATATACGAAAAGGAAAAAAAACTTAAGTATCGCCTTTTTTCCAAAACAAATGCTATTTTAGAATATGAGTGTGTATGTTTTCTCAAAAGCATTGTCTAATATTTTAAATACAAAATAATAAAAACTGCACTAGTATCTTTAGAAATTAAAACATATTAATTCACACTATATATATATATTAATATATGAAAAATCGTGCCTGTATTTACAATAAAATAAACATTTTAATGGATTGTAACCATGACCATATGATTATATATATATATATATATATATCCTTGTTTTGAAGAAGAAGGAAACGACTTTTTGGGTTGAGAATGTAAAACTGCATAGTGTGAAGCATTATTATTGTTACTCATGAGGGGAAACGTGAAGGTGGACAAAAAGGATAATTTTTAAAACCCTAATTAAAGAAAAATAATGATGTCCCATTGTACATTTTGCATCTAATCAAATCTACACCTTTGAATATTGACTCGTCTTCTTTCCACTTATTTTTATATCTTAATTTGTTTTTTAACATGATAATAAAATCCATCCTTTTATTCTCAATTAATTCCCCCATTTTTCATCATGGCCAACACACAAATCCAACTATAGGCTAAAGTTTATACCTATATAGATATGTATGTATAAGATAAACATTAAATGGAAAGTCATCTAAAAAACTAAAAACATCTCTTGGCATACACATATATATAACTTGTTGTTTTACCTTCACGAAATGACTCTCACTCTTAGATATACACTCAGTGTTCTTGAAGATGCCTTGTCACATGCACCAACCAATAAAGATATATTAATATTTTTTCGATTTGGCATCACGTATTTGAGTTTCTCTTAAGCGTCCACCTAATCTCAGATGTGAGCAAGTCTTGGTAAAAAAAAAAAAGGTCTCGCAAGCGCACCACATATAAAACACTAGCGCCAAAATCCAAATAACCAAATGGTTCATGTGTTGTTTTTGCATATTTTGTGGTATATATATAGAATTTTGTTATATATGTGTATATAATATATATACTAAATTTTAAAAAGAATATGGAAGAATTATGTAAAATGAGATTGTTGGGTGAGAAGTACGGGATATTGAAAAGCGAGGATAACATGTTTTAGGAAGAGAAGAATTGAATGTTCAAGAAGTTTTGCCCAAGAATTCACAATTTGGTGCGGTGGGCTCCTCTAAAGGGCAAAGAACAAAAGTGTGTTATGTCTCCATTACTATTAAAATTTTAGTTTTACAACAATGATCACTACTATTACTCTGGTTTGGTCAAATCAAAGACAATAACAGTCTAATGGTCATCGTTCAATTAGGCTACAATAGAAATAGATTTTACATTAATCATTTTTTTATTAGCATTACAAATTTGATATGGCAGCTGTACATTAACTTGAGCCGAAATTCCTCCTATATATCATCGTATATATGTATCTTCCTCGTCTAATCCTCAAAACTAATTATATTTTTGGATAATTATTAGGTTAAGCCAAGAGCAACAACAATTTGCCCCAAAAACAAAAAACCAAGAGCAACAACCCACCTAATATCTACATAATACGACATGCTCATAACTTGCTGCTTATTTTGATAAAACTTGTTGATTATCTTTGTTTGGTTGTTGTTACTTGTTAGATTTCCGTTCCACCATGAATTCATGATAGTTTACTAAACTCAAATAATATATATACAGTTTATGCATATATGTGTATGTTTGCGCGCAAAATATATATATCATGTCTTTATCATGGACAAAGTCAGGTATCTGTAATACCATAATTTCTTTAACTCTATCAGATGTAAAAGTAAATTTAATTATATGAATCTACCTACTTCACTATCGTGAATAATATGGACTGTATTTAGTAAAACAAAAAAATGGGATGCTGACAACAACAAAAATACGTGCGAAGTGCGATTATACGAACAGTGAACAATAATATATATTATCTACGACACTTTCTATTTTTTCGAACAATTTCATAAAATTATACGATTAATAATGTTCAAAAAAAAACTTCATACTATTAAACTGGATTTAAATAAATCTTAACATGGTATATTTTGAAATGAATTATTTTGAAGAGCCGAACAAAATTTAGTGTTACAAGAATACGGTACCGTTTGATAGCAGCAATGAGCAAACAGGACAGAGAGTCTTCTCGAGAGAAAAGCAAGAAAAAAACACCGAAAGGAAGAAAGCTTGGGAAGAGAATTTCAAAATATACAGTTATTTTAAAAATTATTTAGTTTACTATAGATATGAAACTATTTAGTTTGAAGTAAAAAAGGTTGGTCTATGCTTGCATATGTGATGATTAAGGATGATGATTACTTAATCTTAAGAAGATTTTACCCAAACAAAAACGATAAAATAATATGACGAAATTAAATGTTAAATGTCAACTAAATCTACTCCAAAAAAAAAAAAAAATGTCAATATTATGTCAATTTTTATACAATTAAATAGCAAATTATGTTTAATACTATAACATTAATAGTTAAAATTTTATAACTTTGTAAAAATAACTAGAAAGCAAGCTAAAAATTGTGATTCGTGAGTTTTAATTGTACATGTCACTTTTCCAACTTAAATATATTTAACATACATAAAGATTGAAATTTGATACTTGCAACTAGTTACCTTTCATATTTTCATCAGTAACATTTGTATTTATATTAAACTGCTAATATTGACGAATCTATCTAAAGAAGGAAATATCCGTTTCCATTAAAAAAAAAAAAGTAAATAAAATCTAGATGCGATTCAAGTATTCAAACATTTGGTTTTTATAATAAATGAGAATCATGCTTACGATGTGCATATAGAGACTTTAAAGCTTCCCTTAAAAACTTCCATTCCTCCTCTTCACCATTTATTTCTCCGATCTTTTGTATACTTCTTTAAAACACTCAATAAAATTAAGATCCCGGAGAAAAGTTTTCAATCTTCACCATGTCCGATGCAACCGTAGATATATACATATCTTTTGTGTGATTTATACATACTGTATTAAAGATTCTCATTAAGAAAGCTTCCTTCCTTCTTTTTTGTCTTCTCTTGTTCATGGCGGTTCAAGCTCATCACCATCCTTCCACTGTCTTCTTCCTCAACAGGTAATCTCTCTCTCTCTCTATATATATATATATGTGTATGTATGTATTCACATCTGTGATGTTCCGGTTTCTCAGAAACGGACAAGAAGGGAATGGTTATTCGCCGGAGCTGCAAAAATCTCCGTATCCTTCCGTCAACGCCGGTTTGTTTTCTAATTCCATTTTGATCGGTTCCCTTAAGAAATTAATCGGTTATTCCTCAAGAAATTAATCGGTTTAACGTTTGGTCGGAAAAAACAGGGGTTGATACCAGAAAGCGAGCCAGAGAAGTTTCGTCCGTGATTGATTTAGAAATCACGGCGGCTCCGATGAATCCTCCACCGTCTACTCCGCCGCAGTTTATCGGCCGTCGACAAACTCCTAATGTAGTATCCACCGGTCTTCGTTTGTCTCAGGGGCAATCGCAGAATCGAGAACAGCGGTTTCCGATAATAACCGGAGATATCGCCGGAGAAATCAAACGGCAAACGGATGAATTAGATGGATTTCTACAAACTCAGGTGACTATTATTATTATAATATTCTAAATTTCCACACAAACAAATTTTTTTTTTTTTTTTTTTGGAATTTTTATCAGTTTGGGAAACAAAACATGAAAATGTGATATACTGTAGAAATGTTTTTTTCCTTCCTGATTTGAAATTATATTGAGACTGTTTTTTTTTATTTGCAAAGGGAGAGCAACTGAGGCGCATGTTAGCGGAAAACAGTGAGAGGCACTATCGTGAACTTTTGAGAACGACGGAAGAATCTGTTCGGCGGAGATTAAGAGAAAAAGAAACGGAGATCGAGAAAGCCATGCGTCGTCACGCGGAGCTTGAAGCACGTGCGGCGCAGATCGAGACGGAGTCACGTGCTTGGCAGGTGAGAGCGGCGGCGAGAGAAGCCGAAGCGGCGTCGTTACAAGCTCGATTGCAACAAGCCTACGCCCATGGCGGTGGAGTCACGGCGGCAGAACCAAAATCGGGAAGCGTAGACGGTGTGGATGAAGCCGAAGACGCTGAATCAGCTTACATTGATCCCGATAGATTCGAATTGATCGGACCGAGTTGTAGGATTTGCAGGCGACGATCGGCGACGGTGTTGGCTTTGCCGTGCCGTCATTTGGTTCTGTGTAAAGGATGCGACGGCTCTGTGCAAGTTTGTCCGCTTTGCCTTAGCTCGAAGAATTCAAGCGTGGAGGTTTTCTTTTCTTGATGGGCTTATATTCTATGGGCCTGACAGGCCCAGCGGTGGCATTTTATAATTAAAAACGAATTTTATATATAATTAAATTTTTATAAGATACAGTTGAGTTGCTTCATCCTTGAAGCTGAAGCTCAATAAAGCTGGGAGAGGTTAATGTACATATAACATAGCCACATGCAATGCAGTACTAGTCTTGTTTTTTTCTTGGAAATTCTTTTGTGTTATTAGTGGAACGACGTAATAAACCGTGGCATTTGAGATATATAACATTTATTAAATATCTAGCAATTTTTTATTTAATGGTATAATTTATAATGCACTAATAAATATGTATTATTTTAAATGAATGTATTTTAGAGTATTTGTCAAAAAATATGTATTTTAGAGTTTTAGTATCTTTTAATTAGGATTTGTTTTGGGTCCAAAACTATGATAACAAAAAAAAAGAAATCCAAAAGTCAAAGAATCACTATCTATAAGACTATTACCATAAACTTTTTGCTATGTAAATTTGTTTTATATAAACAAAAAAAAAGAATGCATTAAGAAAACGAATGAAACTATAAATAGATGTATATATAAGATGTACGAGAGAATAAATGCTAAACATGATTGAATTTTTCTTTTAAAAACAGTATTTTCTGAAAACCACTGAGTATATATGCTCCTTTAGTCTTTTTCATGAGATGTCCCGTAATTCAATAGGGAAGAAAAGGAATAATAATTGTAAGAAACTCGTGACAGCCACATAGTGCAAAATATAGCCAGCCATATAAACCTATAACTCTATACGCTCACTTCATGCCTTTTTCAAAATTCAAACTAATAATAGTTTCAAAAGTATATTAAAACTGTAGCAGCATATACATATTTAAAACTGTAGCAGTATAATACACGTTGCTCGTATGAATTTCTAGAAAAGAAAATTCATAATTCTCCAGGTATTTTCTATTTTGATATGTCAGCAAAATTCATATTTCAGGGTTGTTTATATGCCGGCGACATTCATATTTTTCGTTTACCATGTACACCTCGCAACTGGAAAGAAAGAAAAAATCAATAGACAATAGACTTGCGTGACCAAAATAAAATAATATAGACATAGACTTTAACGAACAAAAGTAGGTTTTGTTCACATTTGAAAATGGTAAAACAAAGGGGTCATTAAGTCAGTAAACATTAGACTGCTTTTGTCTTAAATCAAGGAAAGTGGAAGACCAACTCATACCTGCAGAAATATGATAAAACGATAATTATATGTATATCACATTTCCGTGTCTCTAACCAAAGTATGCTAATAACTTAAATTAGTTATGTTATGTGTATAACTTAAATATTATGTTTTCATAATAAAGTCGTACCATATACAATTATGCCTTTACATCTCTTTTTTTACGTGTCTAAACACTTTGTTCCTCAGTAGCAAATGCCTGTAATCCTTTGAAAAACAAAATTAACGTGTGTAACTGTGTATGTTGTACCCCTGGCCTACGTTTTGACATTAAATTAATCATATATTTTTCTTCTTTTTAGTATTTTTTTCTTATGATGTGACTCGGTGATGTCTTTTTTTTTTTTGTTTTAGGAAGTTTCAGGTTCATATCTCTATAAGTTTGGGACCGATCTTTAAAAACATCTGTGGTTGATCCATGATCATAAACCATCTATCCTGAGACATAAAACTGGACATGAAAGTAGATTAAAACATTAGTAAAACTGTAAAACAGCACATCTTTACATACTTTAAAGCTAACCGCGTTTGGATAAGATGAAGCCTTACAACCATAATCATTTAGATACTTATATATCCAATGCACAAATGAAATCAAATCATCTAGAATCGACTATTTGCAGAATTACAAAAAAAAAAAGAGTACGTATAAGACTATAAACTTGCGAACGGGTTCTTAAAATGCTGGCTAGCTGTGTCAATTCATTCGGATTTCTAGTAAAATTTGGCTGGCATTTTCTCGATTATCATATGCCGGAACATTTCTTTATCATACTTTCAATTTCAAACCTATAAACCGTATTTATATTTTCAGCAATGACAGCATGGAGCATAATTGGCCCAAAACAAAAGACAAAAATTATTAAATATAAGCATAAAACGAATGTTGTGGTATGGAACACTATAAATTAGAGGGTCCATGAGGATGTGATGATGCATCGCATAGACAATGATGCAACGACATGAAGGAGCGGTTCGATCTAAAAAACTCGTAATTAAATTATATAAAACTAATTTATCTAGAAGAAGAAAAAGATAAAGAGTTTGATCCAACGCTTCGATATATTCCAAGTTTGGTGAGACAACTTTCTTTATGAGTTGCATCCACAGACTTTTAAATTTCACGTGACAATAATGCAATCGTACTATTTATGTGAAAACAAACAATATGCAATATGACATGGCATCTGAATGCATTATTCGTTTATATCTTTGAACAAAAACAAGTACACTTATATGTTTTTTTTTGCGAAAGGGTTTAAGTACACTTATATAGTTATATGTTATGACCAAAAAAAATCAAATTGAAGATAGACGCATGCGTTTATTCGTTCATAACCCAAGAGTAATATGATAAAAAAAATTTTTTTTGCTAAAGTAGAGTTAGATGATTTGATCAGTTGATAAGTTTGTTTGGTTTATGGTAAATATGATATTGCAATATGAATTTAAAAGTTAGGGAACCGGTGACATGCAGGCATGCAGCAGCTGGTGGTCAAAATGATGATAAATACTTTCGTGCGGCCCAAACTGAAAACCCAATCAGTTGCATCAAGTCACAAAATGACCCATATATGAACAAAATTAGTCCAGTGTCAATGTCATAATTTCACGTCTTATATTTTATAGCCTGCCATCAAAAAAAAAAAAACAATCAACAAGTTTGCTTTGCTTTGAATTGTAAAGACAAAAAAAAGTCTGTAGACAATAACGCATTGCTCTGATTTTGTAACACACTATGAAACCGCTTTTTAAACTAGAAATCGGATAGATGGATGGAATAAATGGTTAAAAGGGTCATGAGTTGTCTAAAATTTAATAATTTACGAACCGCGAAATTTATATAGTTTTTTTTCTTGAGCTAAAATGCTGAATTTATATAGTTTCATGGTTCTTTTTTACTTTAAATAACTCTATTCTAATATTTAATTTTCGTTAAGGTAGAAAAATAAAAATGACTGTTACAAAACTGTTGATTTATTTGTACGATGTTTATTTTTAACTAGTTGGCGATCCGCGCTACTCGCAGCTATGTGATTCATTTTTTACGTTTTTTAATAAATTTATTGTATTATATATTTTTGAGAGTTTTAAGATGGACTTTAATTTTACATATACCTCTCTCGAATTTTTCACCTTTTTCAAATTTCTAGTTTGCGATCTATGCAATACCGGGATTTGATTATCACTTTATGTATTTTTTATTGTATCATATATTTTAGATATTTTGTGATTGTTTATTTTTTTTCAATGTACCCATCATGAATTTCTTGACTTATCTTAATCTTGATCAAATATTATCCATTCAAGATTATTTGGTTTATTCAAACAGATAAGAAAAGAAAACATATATGATATTAGATATCCAAATTATCAATTTAAGAATTTAATTTTTTTAAATTATATTTTTAAAAAATTTCTCGAACTTTTAGAATTTTCCCAAATATTTTTTGAAGTTGACTTTCATCCAAATTATTGAGAATTTGTGAATAGATTTTCAATAATACAATTTCTCGAATTCATCTTGTTACCCGAATTTCTTATTCCATTTTTATTAGATTTCCTTTAAAAATTATTTTCTGTCTTTCTAATTACCAATTCCCATCACACACTCTTAAATTTCTGATTTTAATCTTGAAATACTCAAAACTAACGTATATTATTTTTTATTTTTATTTTTATTTTGTATTTTATATTTTGTTTATTTTTATTTTTATTTTCTGACAACATATTATAATTTAACGTTTTATGTTTGCTATCTTTTATATTGAATATTAATGTTAATATTTTTTATTTTTGGTCTTTCTACTTATTAATGTCTATCACACACTCGTAAAAATCTGTCTTCAATCTTAAAATAGTCACAGCTAATGTATATCATTATTTATTGGTTTTTGTATTATTTTTATATTGTATTTTGTTGATTTTTTTTTTCTGGCAACACATTATATTTTTTTTATATTGAATGTTAGTATTAATTTTTATTGTTTTCCATCTTTCTAATTATCAATTTCTGTTACACACTCGTAAATTCTGCCTTGAATCTTGAAATACTCAGAGCTAATGTATATCATTAATTTTTTATAGTATTTTGTTGGTATTTTATTTTTTAACAACATATTATAATTATCTTTTTATGTTTGATATTTTTTATATAGAATGTTAATATTAATTTTTATTATTTTATGTTTTTCTAATTACCAAATTCCATTATAAACTCGTAAATTTCCGTCTTGAATCATGAAATAATCAAAGCTAATGTATATTATTATTTTTTTGTTTTGTTATTTTATATTTTTTGATTTTTATTTTCTGACAATAAAGTATAGCTGTCTTTTTATGTTTGTTATTTTTTATATTGAATATTAATAGTAATTTTTATTGTTTTCTGACTTTTTAATTATCAATTCCCATCACACACTCGTAAATTTCTGCCTTGAATTTTGAAATATTCAAAGCTAATTTATATAATTATTTTTTAGTTTTATTTTCTAAAAATATATTATAATTGCCTTTTTAGTTTTTCTGTTTTATATTAAATGTTAATGTTATTTTGTGTTTTAGAAAAAACTTAATGAAAAACAATTAATGAATGATATAGTTGTTGATGTGACAACACCAGAAATGAGAAAAAGTAACTTTATATATATATAGATTAAGTATATGCTATATATTGAACAACTTGTTATCAATGTAGTCATTTTTAACGAATGTTCGATAAACCTTCTAAGTGGTAATCGGATGCTCGGAAAATACACAAATGAGGATAAATATATAT